TTATTTATTGTGTGCGTGTGTGTGTATATGGCCAGCTCAGCCCACCAGGGGGCGGGGCTGGCTGGCATGTGGTGCTGGGGGATCGAACCGCAGTCTCTGTGCTTTGCCAAGCTTGTTCCAAGTAGGTGCTTCAGACCACTGAGCCATCTCACCAGCCCTTATTTTTTAATTTTTTGATATAGTCCAAGCTGGCCTCCAGCTTCAAATGATCCTCCTAGCTCAACCTCCCAAGTGCTAAGATTGTAAGTATACATCACTACGCTCACCTAAACAAGAAATGTTTTATTTTTTATTTATTTTACATATTTGGTATAGCATCTCATTATGCAACTCAGACTCATAGTGATCCTCCTGTTTTCAGCCTCCCCAGCGCTGGGATTATGGGCATGCACCATCATGCCCCGCTTTGGTGGCTCAGTGAGCCTGGGGGCAGACTGGTGCAGCACATGGTGCTGGGGATCAAATCCTAGTCCCTGCGCTTGCCTAAGCAGGCACTTAGTCTGCTGAGCTATCTCACTGGGCCTACATGAAATGCTTTAATCACTGTACCTCATCACTGACTAAATTATGACAAATCATTCCTCTCTCTCTCTTTCTTCCTATTTCCAGGCCTGGGGTCATCAAGAATACTGTGAAAATGTGGGCACTCTGCCCTGGATTTCCTTGGTACCTGAGAATAGATTAATCCAGCTTGCTTAACCACATCAAACTTGAGCAGACAGGATGATCATACACTGCTAATATATCTTAATAGTGTTACAACGTTATAGATCTGTTGTTTGGATTCTTCCATGAAAGAGACTGAAGTTTTGTGTGACCATACATTCCACAGAGAAATGAAATTTGTCTCACCAAACTTCTTGCTTTTTAGTTCTGGATGTGAGTGAACTACCTACAAAGTATATCTTCCTTTTCACTGTTTGACATCCAAAATCTTTAGGCTGAGCTTGGTGTATGATTTGGAAGAAAGGATAATGAATACCAATTATATTTTTCTCAGAAATGTTTTGGCTGATGTGGAGTCAACGTCTTAGCTCAGGTTCTTTTTTCCCCTATACTTTAACAAAGTTATTACATCTATGAAAGAAAAGAGATCAAATCATTTTAATTTTACCTTCATAACAAGCTCTGAGAATTTGGGAGAACTGGCTGTTGCTAGCAAGCTGTCTTGGAGCAAAACAAGTAGGGCACTGGAAAATAAACCAACACAGCATTAATATGTTCCAAACATTCATTCCAATTAACAACACTAAGTGAAGGGCCAAGTGTGAATATTCTCTTATTAACAAAGTAAGTAGTTATGGATACTTGACATTAAAGAAATCATTAAGCTTTACCCACTTAGAAAATAATAGTTTGTCCCTTTTTTTTGTTATTGATAGGTGAAGAGAAATGTACCTGAAAAGTGTATGTCAGAAGAAGTAGGGGCCGGGGAGATGG